GCAGTGTGCAATGGCAGTGTGCAATGCCAGTGTGCAATGGCAGTGTGCAATGCCAGTGTGCAATGCCAGTGTGGAATGGCAGTGTGCAATGGCAGTGTGCAATGCCAGTGTGGAATGGCAGTGTGCAATGCCAGTGTGTGGAATGGCAGTGTGCAATGGCAGTGTGCAATGCCAGTGTGCAATGGCAGTGTGCAATGCCAGTGTGCAATGCCAGTGTGGAATGGCAGTGTGCAATGGCAGTGTGCAATGCCAGTGTGGAATGGCAGTGTGTGCAATGGCAGTGTGGAATGCCAGTGTGTGGAATGGCAGTGTGTGCAATGGCAGTGTGCAATGGCAGTGTGCAATGGCAGTGTGCAATGCCAGTGTGGAATGGCAGTGTGCAATGGCAGTGTGTGGAATGGCAGTGTGGAATGGCAGTGTGCAATGGCAGTGTGTGGAATGGCAGTGTGGAATGGCAGTGTGCAATGGCAGTGTGGAATGGCAGTGTGGAATGGCAGTGTGCAATGGCAGTGTGTGGAATGGCAGTGTGGAATGGCAGTGTGGAATGGCAGTGTGTGGAATGCCAGTGTGGAATGGCAGTGTGGAATGGCAGTGTGTGGAATGGCAGTGTGCAATGCCAGTGTGGAATGGCAGTGTGCAATGGCAGTGTGTGGAATGCCAGTGTGGAATGGCAGTGTGGAATGGCAGTGTGTGGAATGGCAGTGTGCAATGGCAGTGTGCAATGCCAGTGTGGAATGCCAGTGTGCAATGGCAGTGTGGAATGGCAGTGTGCAATGCCAGTGTGCAATACCAGTGTGGAATGCCAGTGTGGAATGGCAGTGTGCAATGCCAGTGTGGAATGCCAGTGTGGAATGCCAGTGTGGAATGGCAGTGTGCAATGCCAGTGTGGAATGCCAGTGTGCAATGCCAGTGTGGAATGCCAGTGTGTGGAATGGCAGTGTGGAATGGCAGTGTGTGGAATGGCAGTGTGCAATGGCAGTGTGGAATGGCAGTGTGGAATGGCAGTGTGCAATGCCAGTGTGCAATGCCAGTGTGGAATGCCAGTGTGTGGAATGCCAGTGTGGAATGGCAGTGTGTGGAATG